ATAGTATAGATTATGTATTTTAAAAAAAACAATAATGATGTTATTTTTGAATAAAATATAAATTTGAAGATATCATAAAAATTTTAAAATATATATATCAATGTTAATGTCAAATCAACTATTTAAAAGTTTTCATTTTTTTGTAATTTCTTTAATTTATTTTTTATTATAATTTAATTTTAGTTTAATAATGAAATAATTTATTTTTGGTTTGATAATATAACATTATATAAATATATTAATTAAGTATTCTGTTAGAACTCGATGATTATCCTAATTATATTTTAGATTTTTTATATTTAAAATGAGATGTTTATCATGTATTTGATTATGCTTATATGCAGTTAGTTACACGAATTCAGATATGGAGGTTTAATAAGTTGTACTTACGTACAATCTACTTGTAATCTTGAGTTTTAAGTAATATGCATTAATAAACAGTACTTTACGTATAAAAAATGGTTTTTAAGAGTTTTTGTCAAATGCTTTATAATATAGTATAGATACATACATAGAGGAGCAATCAAATGCAAACCACCCAATTTGTACAAACTGTGCAAACTACCCTCATTCGTCGATTTCATTGTTTAATCTTATGAATTTTTTTCATGAAATTGTTTCATATAATACTTTTTTTGATAAAGTTGTTTCATATATGGTTATGAAATTGTTTCATATAATATTTAATGAATTTTTTATGAAATTGTTTCATGTATTTCTTTAAAATTAAAATAATGAAAATGATAATATCCATAATTAACACCCTCCACAATAAAAATGATTAATCAATCTCTATTAATAAAAAAAATGAACAAAATGAAAAATTATGATTGGTTGAATGAGATTTGTACGGTTTGTACAAATAACGTGGTTTGCAAAGTAAATATTTTCTATATACATATACATGATATATATATATATATATACATACATACATAAATATTTATATACATACCGGTAGTCGAGGTCGGTCGGCCGGAAGTCAAAATGAGGTGATCAGCGGCCGTGAGGGGTGGTCGACGACAGCTACGGGTCGGTTTTGTGGTTTTAGCTCGCGAGCGGTTTTATGGGGTGTGATTTTCACAAGCGGCTGTCGAAATGATGAAGATAGGGTTTTATTCATGTTGTCATTACCCATGGATTAGTCCGCTGGAAATATTTTAAAAAATTTAAATTTTTTAAAATTAACCGGTTTTCTTGAAATTTTCGATTTCCGACGGATAAATCCGTCGGTTTTTTAATTACTATTATTATTTTCTTTTTAAATTATTATTATTATTATTATTATTATTATTATTATTACCACTAAAAATATTATTATTATAATAATTATATTTTTTAAATTATTATTATTATTATTAAAATTATTATATTTATAAAATTATTATTATTATTATTGAACCGTTAAAGCCCAATATGATTTATAAAATCCTAATAGGCCAATACGGTCTATTAAAGTCCAATGGGTCCATTAAAACCCAATACGGTCCATTAAAGCCAAATACAGTCCATTAAAGCCCAATACGGTCCATGAAAGCCTAATACGGTCCATTAAAGCCCAATACGATCCATTAAAACCCAATACGGTCAATTAAAGTCCAATACGGGCCACTAAAACCCAATATGGTCCACTAAAGCCCAATAGAACCGTTAAAGCCCAATAGAACCGTTAAAGCCCAATACGATCTATTAAATTCCAATACGGTCCATTAAAGCCCAATACGTTCCATTAAAGCCCAATCGGTCCATTAAAACCCAATACGATCCATTAAATCCCAGTACGGTCCATTAAAGCCCAATACATTCCATTAAAGCCCAATCAGTCCATTAAAAACTCAATACGGTCCATTAAAGCCCAATACGTTCCATTAAACACCAATACGATTCATTAAAACCCAACACGATCCATTAAAGCCCAATCGGTCCATTAAAACTCAATACGGTCCATTAAAGCCTAACATGATCCATTAAAGCAGGATACAATCCATTAAATCCCAATATGGTCCACTAAAACTCAATACGGTCCATTAAAGTCCAATAGAACCGTTAAAGTCCAATACGATTAATTAAAGTCCAATACGATTCATTAAATCCCAATACGGTCCATTAAAGCCCAATACGTTCCATTAAAGCCCAATACATTCCATTAAAGCCCAATCGATCCATTAAAATCCAATACGGTCCATTAAATCTCAATATGTTCCATTAAAGCCCAATACATTCCATTAAAGCCCAATCGGTCCATTAAAACCCAATATGGTCCATTAAAACCCAATACGATCCATTAGAACCCGATACGGTCCATTAAAGCCCAATACGATCTATTAAAGTCCAATCGATCCATTAAAACCCAAATACGGTTCATGAAAGCCCAACACGATCCATTAAAGCGGGATACGATCCATTAAAGCCCAATACGGTCCACTAAAACCCAATAGAACCGTTAAAATCCAATATGATACATTAAAGTCTAACTAACATCCACTAAAGCCCAATAGAACCTTTAAAGCCCAATACGATCCATCAAAGCCCAATCGGTCCATAAAAACCCAATACGGTTCATTAAAGCCCAATACGATCCATTAAACCACAACTAATATCCACTAAAGCTCAATACGAACCGTTAAAGCCTAATACGATCCGTTAAAGACCAATATGATCCATTAAAGTCCAATATGATTCATTAAAGCGCAATAAGTCCATTAAAACCCAACACGGTTCATTAAAGATCAATACGATCCATTAAACCACAACTAACATCCACTAAATCCCACTACAACGCGTTAAAGCCAATAAAACCCGTTAAATCCCAATACGATCCATTGAAGACCAATATGATCCATTAAAGTCCAACTAACATCCACTAAAGCCCAATATGATCCATTAAGAAAAAAAATTTAAAAATGGAAAAAAATGAAAGCCGCCGGAAATCCGCCGGCAAAAGCCGCCAAAAATCCACCGGAAATCATTAAATTTTTAAAAAAATCTTGAATAATTATTAGCCGCTGGAAATCTGCCGGAAAGGGCAGGCAAAAATCCACTAGAAATCGTTAATTTAATTTTTTTTTGAATAATTATTACCGGCGGCCATCCGGATTCTGCCGGAAAATTTTAAAAATAAATTTAAAATTCAAAAATAAATTTTAATTTTTAATTACTTTCTGGTGGATCTTAATTTTAAAAAATTTATTAAATATTCGTCGGAAATCTGCCAGTAAGTTATTGTAATTAGATTTAAATACAAGTCTAATATGATTAATTATGAAATCCACCGGAAATTTTACCAGAATAATTTTACCGGCTGTTTTCCGGCGGAAGTCAACAGAAGTTGACTTTTTTGTTATCCGACCGTGATCCACCGGTAGTTTTTCGGCGGATTTTGTCCGCCGAAAATCTCGCCGGAAATAACTAGTTTTCTAGTAGTGATATATCTTAAATTTTAATATAATTACATATATTTACATATAACATCCTGTAATTATTATAATTACATTTGAACACATGTTTTCATAATTATCCTCTAAAAATAATTGTATCTATGATCAACTTGATTTAATCTGGGTTTTTTCAAAAATGAAAGCAAACATATTCTTTACGTTCAATGCTATTACTTTACATACTCCTCAATAGTATGACACGTGTGGTAGACTTATAATGACTTATAATGACTTACAATACTAATACACTCTTCAAAAAAATTATATAAAATAATAATAATTCAATCTAATTGATAAATATGAATAAAAAATTCAATTCTCAAAACTTAAAATATAAATAATCTATTAAAGTAAAATTAGAAGAGTACTTGTGCAATGCAGCGAGACATATCTCAATTTTAATGTTCAATTTTATTATTTGTCTTTGTCGATGTTATAATACGATTTTATGTGTTTTAAGAAAACAATAATGATTTTATTTTTAAATAAAAATAGAAATTTAAAGATATCATAAAATTTTGAAAAAAAATATACCAATGTTAATATTAAATCAATTATTTAAAAATTCTTATTTTTTATGTAATTTCTTTAATTTATTATTTTTATTATAATTTAATTTAAGTTTAATAACGAAATAATTATTATTTTTGGTTTAATAATATAATATTTTATAAAGATAATAATTAAGTATTCTGTTATAACTTAATGATTATCCTAATTATGTTTTAGATTTTTTATATTTAAAATGAGATGTTTATCCTGTATTTGATTATGTTTATCTGCAGTTAATTACACGAATTCAGATATGGAGCTTTAATAAGTTGTACTTACGCACAATCTACTTGTAATATTGAGTTTTAAGTAATATGCATTAATAAACAGTACTTTATGTATAAAAAATAGTTTTTAAAATTTTTTGTCAAATAATTTATAATATAGTATAGATAAATAATAAAAACCTTATTTTGAATTTAGAGAACCTAAAATATGGAGCGTGAATAATCGTTGTAACAAATCTACCAAATGCCCAAAATGGTCATCAACTACACCTTTTTACATTTCCCCGGCATTATTCAAACCCCAATAAGAGCTGGAGAGAGATGGAGGAGAGAGCTAAGTCTCTGGCTTTGATCGCAGCCGGTGCTCTTTTGGGCTCCATTACTGCCACCGTAGCTGTTCTCAAGCTTCTTCCTCCTAGGTATCTGTATTACCCACTACTTGAGGAATAATATGGTCTATGCTCACCCCGTTGTTGATGAAATCAGCATAAGATAATCATAGTAAAGCATGTAAAATTGGAACTAACTTTCACAATCGAGAAACTTACGTTTGGTTTTAAAATTTTCTTGCAGAATAGCTACGGTTCAATACAGTAATGGTGCGAAATCAAATGGTAAATTCATAGATTACCCTAATTTAGAACCTATCTGAAGCTTATTACTGCCTCGGTTTTTGACTTCATGTGTTGTTTTTTCCAAATGCAAAATTGACATGTAGTTTCTATGCATCATTTGCTTAAGAAGTATAAACCTTTTTCTTGTGAAATATTAGAAATGAGATCAATTCTGAAGTTAAAAGATTGCCCACTTGATATTCTAAGCCAGAGGGTAGCTCTACCTTTTCTTGGTGAAGGAAAGAATGCTTCCTTTTTGCATTATCAACTTGGTATATTCCGTATGATTGTTCCTTTGAGTTTCTTCTTTATGTTAGAGGGACGTTCGTGTGAATAATTCTAGAAAGCCAGTGACTTAATATATTGATAATGGTGTGTTCCTCTTTCTAAATTATATATCCACTGGAGAGGGCATACTTAATGCTCTTGTTGGTGCTAAAGCATTTACAGTTGTCTTCATCCGCTTGCTATATTGATGAATAGGGCTGAACTCCAGAAACTACATATGTTGTTTTCTTGGGTCAAACATTTAGCCAAATACACATTTGAGGGATTTGAAACCTTCTTAAAAATGAAAATGCAGTTTCTTTGATTCTGTATCAGGCATAAAGAAAGCTTGATTGCGATAAAAGAGTATTATTCATCATGTTGGAGCCTCAAGTACATGAATTTTGCAAATTAATTTTGTATCAACCGACTATTTTGGAGAACCAACTTATTGAAAGCAATAATGATGATACCGTCAAAAGAATAAGTCAACGGACAAAGTTCTTCTGTTTACAGTAATGGTTTTTATGGATTGTTTGGTTGATCGTATCTTTGCCCACTTTATTGTCAATGTAGAAAAAAGTTGAAGAACACAAAATGTAATAAGCGTGAATTGAAAAAAGAAAATAGAACATAACTTCTGTAAGTAGACAGTCTTGTCCTGGCTGGTTTTAATTTTTTAATCACATAGGTCTTACTACAATACTACTGTTACCGTTTACTGTTATTTGTTGCCTGTCGCACACACTCTTGTTCTTTTATTATTTTCCTATATCTTATGCACTCCATTTTCTTTTCAAAGACCCCAATTTAGCTCATATCTTCCTAATTCTTTTGCCGCAAGCCGGATGACTCCACAAAACAGCCTCTCTAGTATAATAAACTACCTTTGTGTTCTTTCCGCCTGGTGTCGATGTTGCGCTCTGATAGTCGTATGATTGTTTCATAGGCGAAGCAGTTTTATCTGCTCCAGCTGCAGAAGGCAATAGTTCTCTAAAAGCAGAGATGTATGAGATCGACCATGCAGACCTGTTAAAAGACGAAATAGTTTCTGAACAGCTCACCAGGTACCTTTGACTTTCCAGAGCAATAAATTTGAATTTATAATCTTTTGTATTCTTGGTACTCCCTAATAGTTTCCTACCTTTGTGATTTTGGATGTTACTATTTTAGTGTCCACTTTCAGAATGCAATTACCTCTCTAATTCAAACTGGTGCTCTTGCAATAGATAATGACAAAGGTAGTGAGATTTTTTTTTATGAATTCCACATACTAAATGGTTCCTTCTATTAGTTATCACCCTTCTCTTGCTTTCATCAGAATTTTTTACTTTAAACTTGAATCGCTCTTTCAGTCACATCCATGCCGGGTTCCATAAATCCATCCTACTGTAGAGACACAAGTGATATTTAAATGAACCTCATATAAAGTGGGTTTGAGTAAAACCAAGGAGTTGACTGAAGTGACATTAAACCTTGAAAATTTTAGAAGGTAATATTGTAGCAATATAAAAAAGCGAGAAGTGGTTACTGCTGAAATATGACCATCTTAGACTCTTCAAAAGTCTTAGTGGACCTCAAGAACAAGATTGTAAGACTACTTGCTTTGAAGGCACAATTATATATAAAGAATGTTTTAAGGCGTATTTAACATGAAAATTAATACATTTAGGAAACTCAAGATTCTTCCATTCTAGTACTACCACATTTTTCTGGTTTATCATTTTGTCATTTAACCATGAAAACTATGTTGAAGACAGAACACCTACTCAAGTGACTGTGTGTAACTGTATAAGCTTTCATGCATACAGTGGGTATGGGACAGGGAAGATTGAGACGATTAATGATTATGCTTCATGAATATTTGTACATTTGCTAGCTTGCAAGTATTTGAAGGTTTGGGACATGAAATCCTGAATAATTGTTCTTCTACACCATCAATATGTGTGTTAATAGTGACGTGATATATTCCATTCTTTTGGATGTTAGGAATATTCAGTTCTTCGGTTTTGATGCACAACAAAAAGTGACAACATCCTATGTTGTAGTCATTGGCCTTGGAGGGGTCGGGAGTCATGCTGCATCAATGCTTTTGAGATCAGGAGTTGGCAGGCTCCTCCTTGTAGACTTCGATCAGGTATCTTTTCTTTTAAAAACTTGATAATGGTCTCCAAGGTCATAGGAGAATTGTCATATTACAGTTAGGCCAGAGAAAAATAGAAGTTCATCTGAGACCAATCAATTGGCTGTTCCCTTTCCAAGATGCCACTCTGGCAAGAAAGCTCCCTCCAGTCACATAACCTGTGTAAGGAAATTCTTTTTCCCTAGACATGTAAATGAACAAATTTACCTTTAATTGTTCAAACTATTGAAGCATAACATATAAAGTGCAATGCACTAACATTTGTTTCATTCATGTACTTCAAATATTGTTTTCTTTGGGAAAATCTGTTTGTGATTGAACTTGCCACTTTTTAACGGTTGATGATTGAACTCAATTTTTCTTTTCAATTGATTAATTTAGGTTAACTTACTCAACAATTGGTGTAATGACAGAAAAATATCTGGCACTTGTGTAAATCGGAAGCTAAAAACTGGGAAACAACATATACCTATGACTCTAACCAAGGTAGGGTATGGGTACCATACACCAAGTTTGTCTATTTCTGAAACTAAACCTACCATAAGCGCCAGGTGCCTCGAGCTTCTGAACTGAATTTTCTGCTCAGTTGCTCAACCTGTGGATGAACAAGGTGCCTGTGGAATTTCTTAGCATTTGACTCCTTTATGCTTTCGAAAATTTCACCTTAGTTCCTGGTAGTTTTTGAACGTACACCATTACCTAAAGCGTGATCAATGAATCTTTAATAACAATGCTTTTATCATTTTGAACCATCATAATACACAGAACATTATTGACTATAATAACGGCTAAGCATCTCTTGGAGAAGGGGACTGTTCCATTAGTTTAAAGTGTTAGTGGTGAGGTGGTATTCTACTCTCATACATGTTATTTTACAAATCTTGCTCCATGTGGGCATTATGAACCAAGCATGTGCTCAGTTGATCTTTATTATTGCCTAAGGGAGATTCGGTGACCTAAATGTAACCCCACTATACTGTGAAAGATTCTATGAGGAGGTAATTGAGAATAGTACCTTGAACAGCTTCATATTTCTATATGGCTGAGGTGTCTTAGATGTCATGACTTTGTATCGGCAAGTACCTTTGTCTTGGAGTCCTGGTCTAGTAACTATCTGCATTCTGCCATCAGTTCACATATGGATTTTTTCTTTTTTCCTGTTCCCTTTATATGATTGATTTTCTTTTAGACCCTTCTAGTGTGAGGAGCTGAATTTTTTTTGCTTAGCCTCTTGTTCTGTTCAGCTAGAAGGCATTTGGCTTTGCATGACATAACTCTGACCTTCTCGTTAAGTTTTTTGTGCTACTAGTAGGTAAAATATTGTTCTAGATGGTTGTCCGTATGCATCCTCTACTTCTGAGAATTTTCCAGCCTTTTGGATGGACTTGAGATATGAGTGTATCTCTTTGCCTTCACCCTTTATATAACTACAAAAACAACACATTCTCTTCATAATAGTTAAATTTAGAGTTTCTTCTCAGTACAAGTGCATATAACTAGCCCTGTGTTTGGAATCAAGGTTTTTACCAAGCTTGCATGCATCATTTATAATAACCGGGGTTGCTTGATACATTTCAAGGTTTCACTTTCGTCTTTGAATCGACATGCGGTTGCTACGAGAATAGATGTTGGCACCCCAAAAGCGTTATGCCTTAAGAAACACTTCTCATCAATTTATCCAGAGTGCCACATAGATGCAAAGGTGCTGTTATATGATGCTTCTTCAGAAGAAGAAATTCTCTTGGGTGATCCCGATTTTGTTTTGGACTGTATTGATAACATCGATACAAAGGTATATTTCCTTCTCAATATCCTGCTTCCTACTTCCCAATTCAGACAACTGCATGTATCATGTTTGGTGCTATACTTGTAGTCTAGTTGTATTCTCCGTGCTTACTTATTTAATTGGTAATTGAGTAGCAATTCCATTATCTTCCCTGTGAATGTGTAGGCTGCAATGCTAATGTTCTTTTCGTAAGTTTGAATGGCATTGTAGAAGGCCAAGCTGCCTTTGATGATTGAAGATATGTTTCCTATTTTCTCTATTTGATTGCATGGTAAAAAGGATTTGATAAAGAAAACAAAAAGAAAAGGAGGGGAGGTACTACTATGGGTCTATGAGTACCATATATACCAGTCAACTGATTATGCACATGGACAGGGATGACAACAGGGAGGATATGAGGTGGGGGTGACTCCGCTGTATCCGTCCTGCACCCATATATAGCCTGCCCTAGCTTCTCATATTTTGTACCCATCCTGCGCCCATTGCCTCACCCCATATCTGTCCCAATCCCGACTGGTTTTAAATTTAATGATTTTGGTACTTTAAAAAAATTAAAATACAATTTAGATAAAGTGTAAGTTGAAAAAAATGTTATTAAACGAAACTAAAAGAACAAAACACAAAACAAGATAAAAGAACATAAAAAGTTACAAATCTAACTGAGGTGTTTTTGTAAAAAAAACTTATACTCATACTATGAATATGTGTATGTGTACAATATATATAAGCATGTGTGTTAGATATATGTATGTATTTTTAATTTTAATTTTTTGCAAGCCAGGGTGTTCATGGAAACAGTCTCTGTACGTTGGGCCGTTGGGGTAGAGTCAAGGTTTGCTTACATCCTACCCCAAACCCTACCTTTGCATGGGATTTGCTCGGTAAATTTGGTTTGGTTTGGTGTAAATATCTGTGTGTGTGTCTATATATAGGGTGGATACAGGGTTTTGAGCTACACCACCTATCATCCCTGAATTTGATCAGGTCATATAAAACACCCTCATATCTGCCCTGCACCTGCTAGTTACCCCCCATAACCTCCCCATGAAGGGAATGGTGATGTGTACTGCAAAACCCACACTGTTGCCATTCTTATGCATGGGCATCACTCTGTGAAAACGGAAATGTATATTCCTTATCATTGCTTGGGTTGTGAATTTAGACCTGCTATTGTGTTAAGGATTCTTTTAAGTAGATAACAAGAGTTCCATGATGTGCATTTCAGTTGTTTACAGAGTCGTATGTAGCAATTACACAGCTATTTTGGTAGATTAATTCTCTTTCAGTGATAAGTCTTTGCTTAACGTGTATGACAGGTGGCTCTTCTTGCTGCATGTGTACGTAGGGGTCTAAAAGTTTTGTCTGCTACAGGAGCTGGTGCTAGAGCTGACCCAACGAGAATCCGCGTGGCTGATTTGAGAGAATCTACTAACGACCCCCTATCTAGAGCAGTAATTGTTCTGTCTTCTACAATTTTATATTTTAATGCATGTATTCGTATGTGGTTGTTGCATTCTTAGCTTCAATCTTATTGTACACACGTTCAAAAGCCAAGGCTATGTCAACTTGACTAGCTCTTTCGAGCACTTTGCATCTGGCATTTGCATTCGACATATCAAATGGCAAACAGCATGCTTCTACATATCAACCGTCAACCCTGATGTGAATTAATATGGTTTATTATACATATTATCCTTGTGATGGTGTTTGAGCTACATAAAGTATTTCCCTAGAACCATATTAGCATTTGTTAGGCTTGTAGAGTTTGCTCTTTCTGATTGAGCGGCTAATTCAATTCTGGTTCAACTTTAACAAAAAAGGTATATCGTGTATGCTTTTTAACATAGAGTTCATCTCCCACTACAAAATGGCCACAGAGACTTCCTGTTTCTTTTCAATGCACACATTGGTCATATTTTGAGAATCCATGTGTTGCCTCTAATTGTATCTTATATAGTTCACATTAATAAACATCAAGGCAACCCGCAACACAAGGATTACCCTAGGTAATCATGGGCAGCGTGATAGGACTTGATCAGACATATCTACTTTGCAGGTTAGACAACGTTTAAGGAGAGATCATGGTATTGAAGGTGGCATTCCTGTAGTTTTCTCTTTGGAAAAACCCAAGGCGAAACTGCTTCCTTTTAAGGGACCTAATGGAGATGAAGAGAATCCTTCAGATTATCAAGTGAGGACGTTTATTATATATTTTGTACCCACTTATTACTGCTTACAAGGTTTCATGCTGATGGGATTTTTCTCTGGAGCTAGTTTATGAATCGTCGAATCAAGTTCTTGTCCTTGTTTTTCATATTAATTACTTGTGTCTTGCTAGTTGCTATGAAAAATTGAGTTCTGAAATTAAAATTTTAAAAACATGACATCAGGTGGTGCCCGGGTTTAGGGTCCGCATAATTCCTGTTTTGGGAACAATACCTGCTATTTTTGGACAAATCATGGCATCATATGTTGTGACAAGACTGGCAGAATTGCAAGTCCACATGGAGCCCATTGTGAACTTCGATATGGATCATTACCGCGTTCTACATCAGCGCCTTATTGAGCACGAGGAGTTGATTTACGGCACCTCCATCCAAGTTCAGGTACTAGGTTCTAACCCTTACATTAATATTTGATCCTGTTCATATATTTGTTGCTTGTAGAGACACCAAGGACGATTTTAGTTTTGCTGCTTTCAGTTGGTTAATTTTCATTTATGTGGTCGTGGGTTTTGCTCTTCCACGATGGGGAATGGGGATGGGACATTACTTCAACTTTGGTTGAATTCAGATTATTTATGTGTGAAATTGATGCAAATTGATTGTTGTCGGTAGCTTCCTTATTGAATTGAGTAAAGAAAAGAAATATTACAGAGGTTACACGGCTTTCGAGAGGCCAGTTCTCTCCCTAGAGAGCTTGCGCTCCTTTTCAAACTTACAAAACAGAATGCAACTTCCACTAACAAACTCCCCAATATAAAGGAGCTGTCTCAATTATTCTATTCAGAAAAATACCCAAACTACCCTCCACTTACTTACAACTAAACTACTTAAATCTTCTCTTATATGTAAAACGTACAGTAGGCTTATCAATACCTCCCCCCAAAGCTTTCACCTTGTTCTCAAGGTGATTATTAGGAAACTGTCGAGCCAAAGCTTCCAAATTCTCCCAAGTCGACTCGAAATCGGACAGCCCTTTCCAATTGACTAACACCTCCAAACTTCCTGCATCATTTTTTTCCAGCCGTCTTAACATCCAACAAGGCTTCCGGCTCTACTTGTAACACCATATCAGCAGATACTTGAATTGGTATGTTCTTTGTAACCAAACAATTCCCAACATCTCTTCTAAGTTGTGATACATGGAAGACAAAATGTATCTTTACTCCTTCCGGTAACTCTAAACGATAAGCGACTTTTCCGATCTTTTCCAAGACTTTGTAAGGACCATAAAATCTTGCCATCAACTTTGGACTATTCCCATTCACAAGGGATTTTTGTCGATACAGTCTAAGCTTCAAAAACACCAAATCATTAACAGCAAAATCCACCTCGGTTCGTTTCAAATCAGCTTGCTGTTTCATTCTACACTGCGCCTTCAAAAGATGCATTCGTACCTCATCCCAAATCTCATCTCGACTCATCAATTCCATGTCTACCGCTTGTACCACAGTTGAAGCATCTTTATAACGTAATGAAGGAGGAGGATCCCGTCCATACAACACCTTGAACGGAGAACATTTAAGAGCTGTATGATACGCCGTGTTGTATGACAATTCTGCCCATGATAACCATTTGCTCCACTGGCGAGGTCTATCCGAAATCCAGCACCTCAAATATTGCTCCAGCCCTCTGTTCACCACTTCGGTTTGACCATCCGTTTGTGGATGATAAGCTGAACTGAATTTCAGAGTTGTCCCTTGCAATTTGAACAATTCTTTCCAGAAATTACTCTGGAATACTTTGTCACGATCAGAAACGATTGAGTTGGGTACCCCATGCAATCGGATTATCTCTTTAGAGAATACCTCCGCTACCGATTGAGCCGTAAAAGGATGCTTTAGACCCACAAAATGAGCATATTTGCTCAATCTGTCTACCACCACCAAGATAGAATTCAAACCACCTGAATTTGGTAGACCCTCAATGAAATCCATCGAAATATCACTCCAAACTATGTCCGGAAGAGTCAACGGCTGTAGTAACCCCGCCGGTGAACCACTTAAGACTTTGTTCCTCTGACATGTTTCACATCCTTTAACCATATTAAGTACGTCCTTCTTCATACCAATCCAGAATAACTCCGCTGACATCCGTTGGTACGTTCTTTCTTCACCGTTATGTCCCCCAATCGGTGACACATGGAATTCTTCAAACAACTTTGGAATGATCATCGACTTTCTGGGCAACACTAATCTACCCTTAAAGAATAACAATTCTTGTCTTACTTCGAAGCCTTTATGTCGACTAACATCTTTCGACACTTCTTCTTTTATTTTGAGCAAAAAATCATCCATTTCCAACTCTTCTTTCAAACTTTCCCACTGTCTCCATGATGGCACACTCAAATTAGAAAACTCTATCTCTTCATGCTTACGAGAGAGTGCATCAGCAGCTTTATTAGCACTCCCTTGTTTGTAAACGATCGAAAAGTTATACCCCATTGGTTTACTCATCCAATTCTGATATTCCGGTTCCACCACTTGTTGCTCTAACAAATATCGGAGACTGTTGATCACTGTGAACCGTGAAATGCCTGCCAAGCAAATAGGGTCTCCACTTCTTTATAGCTAACACTATGGCCATCAATTCTTTCTCATAAGTTGACTTTTGCCTTGCTCTTGTGCCCAGAACTTGACTATAATAAGCCACGGGCTGTTCATTCTGCATCAAAACAGCCCTTAACCCTGTCCCGGAAGCGTCTGTCTCGACTACAAACTCGGCTGAGAAATCAGGCAGCTTCAATACCGGTGGAGAAGACAAGATTTTCTTCAATTTGTCAAAAGCCTCTTGTGCTTCCTCAGTCCAACCAAATTGGTTTTTTTAAGTAAATCCGTGAGGGGACTAGCTATAACTCCATATCCCTTCACAAATTTTCGATAGTATCCCGATAGCCCCAAAAAACCTCTCAACTCCGTCACGTTTCGAGGTACCTTCCATTCTAAAATCGTTTTGATTTTAGAATCATCTACCTCCACTCTTTTACTTGAGATCATATGACCCAAGTAACCTAGCCTTTCTTGACCAAATTCACACTTCTTTTTATTGGCATATAATTTGTTTTAAGATAACAATTGAAACACTAATCTCAAATGGTCAATGTGTTCTTCCTCCGATCGACTATACACCAATATATCATCAAAGAATACTAGCACGAACTTTCTTAAACAGTTTTTAAAAACTTCGTTCATCAATCCTTGAAAAGTGGACGGTGCATTTACGCATTTACAAGACCGAAAGGCATTACCTTAAACTCGTAGTGGCTTTGATGTGTTCTAAAAGCTGTCTTTTGAATGTCTTCATCCTTCATACGAATCTGGTGATACCTCGATTTCAGATCGAGTTTGGAAAACACTTTAGCACCGTGTAATTTATCTAGCAGCTCATCGATCACCGGTATCGGAAATTTATCTACCACCGTAGCCTTATTGAGAGCTCTATAGTCGATGCAAAACCTCCAACTACCATCTTTTTTCTTGACTAATAGGACGGGACTTGAAAAAGGACTGTTGCTCGGCTGGATCACTTACGCTTGCAACATTTCTTTCACCAACTTTTCTATCTCATCTTTCTGGTAGTGTGGGTAACGATAAGGTCTCACGTTGACTGCATCTGTTCCCTCCTTCAAAACAATTCCATGTTCTTTACCTCTCCTCGGTGGTAACCCTTTTGGCATATTGAATACTTCCTCAAACTCTTCGAGAATCGATTGTACCTTTAACACTACTTCTTGCACTTCATCATCCATCACTGTATAAGCTCCCAACTCCACCAAAACAACATGTCCTTCTTGTTGGATCAATTTCCCCATGGCTTTTAATGAAATTAACGATTTCCCTAAAGAGGGATCACCTTTCAGCACCACCGACTTACCTCCGATTGTGAACTTCATAACTTGTTGTTTCCAATTAGTGTACGTTACTCCTAAAGTTTCCAGCTATTGAATCCCCAAGATCACATCATTGTTTTCCAATTGGATGGGCAGAAAGTCTTCTACCACCTCCAAACTTTGCACATTCAACACAACATGCTTACAAATCCCGTTACTCTTCACTTTGTTCCCCATTCCCATCGTTATAAAATACTCCTTCGTTTTGTCAATCTTCAGATTCAACTTATCTACTATATCTTTGGAAACGAAATTGTGAGTTGCTCCACTATCGATGAGGTTTACCACTTTTTGACTTTCTATGCTTCCTTCCATTTTCAGTCTTCGGATTCGTCAGGCCTACTACCGTATTAAGATGAACTTCGACTTCTTTGCTCACCTCAATCACGTCAGCTGTATTCAGCACTTTACCGTCCTCAACTTCGCTACCAGAATCCACCATTTCCTCCTCTTGTACTAACAAAACATTTAACTCTTTTTTTTACACTTATGGCCTGGAGAATACTTCTCATCACAATGATAACAAAGGCCCAAAGCTCGTTTCTGCTGAACCTCCTGATCCGACAGTCTTCTATACTCCGATCTCGAGTGGTTTATCGAATTGCTCATCGAACTAGAACTATTTACTGATTCAACCCCACCGGTAACAATCCTATTACTTGAGAACGTCGTAAATGATTTTTTAGGCACTGAGAACGTTCTTTCCTTATCGATCACATTGTTTCTAGCTTCAACTTTCATAGCCATCTCCATCGCTTCCTCAAGTGTTACTGGATTGAGAAGTTGTACCTCGACTTTGATCGAATTCTTCAACCCGTTGATGAATTGACTCATGAATACTTCTTCCGAGATTCCTTCCAATGGTGCCGCCAATTCCACAAATTTCATCCTAAATTCATCGACTATACCTTCCTGTTTGACAGCCAAAAACTGTTCGCATAAGGTTCCAGCTGCTGCCGATCTGAATTGACGAAGAATCAGTTGACGCAAATCCTCCCAACGCGAAATCGGATGCCGACGATTCTCCCATTGAAACCATCTTAAAGCAGTACTTTCAAACGATATAAAGGATGCGTCAATTTTTTCCTGCTGCGTCAATCGATTAAGATAGAAATAGCGTTCCGCATGAAGAATCCATCCATCAGGATCGGTTCCATCGAAAGAAGGAATTTCCAGCTTTCGACCTTTCACAGAAAAAATTCGACCCGATCTGTTGGTCCCAAAGGGTCTACAAGAATACTAAACAGTTTGTAGAAGGGGGGGGGATGAATACAAACACAATTTT